GGGTTGATGAGAAGATGGACATGAGCCAATAGTCTGTGCTTGCAGCCTGGAAAGCCAACTGTGTCCTGGGCTGCATTAAAAAAGGGGTGGCCAGCAGGAAGAGGGAGATGATTGTCCCCCTCTACTCAGCTTTGGTGATGTCCAATCTGGAGTGCTGTGTCCAGGTCTTGGGCCCCCAGTAAAGGAAGGATGTGGAGCTCTGGGAATGGGTTCAGAGGAGGACCACTAAGATGATCAGAGGGCTGGAGCACCTCTCCTATGAAGAAAGATTGAGGGAACTGAGCTTGGAGAAGAGAAGGCGCCGGGGAGACCTCACTGTGGCCTTCCAATATTTGAAGGGAGCATATAAACAGGAAGGGAAACAGCTGTTTAAGAGGGTGGATAGTGATAGGACAAGGGGAGATGATTTTAAACTAAGACGGGAGATTTAGGTTAGATATTAGGGAGAAGTTTTTCATTCAGGGAGTGATGCTGCATTGGAACAGGTTGCCCAAGGAGGTTGTGGATGCCCCATCCCTGGAGGCACTCAAAGCCAGGCTGTATGTGGCTTTGGGCAGCCTGGTCTGGTGGTTGGTGACCCTGTCCATGGCAGGAGGTTGAAACTAGATGATCTTTTCAACCCAGACCATTCTATGTATCAATATCCAATAGATGTTGGAAGCACAAGTACAAATATTCATAACTGCATTTTCTAGAATTAAAATTCTGTGATGAGGCTTCAAAACACAAACATGTCTTTTACTGATATGGAAGATGCTCTGCAAGAACAGTGCTAGCCTAAGTTTCTCATGCTATAACAGCTTTCTCCAAGTCTGTGTCACAATTAGGAAAGGAAAATCATGGCTATAATGAGATATTTTGATGATTAGCAGTATGTACACTGCCCCTCATGACTGTATAACTTGAAGAACCCGTAGGAGCACTGATGTGTGCTCAGGCCAAAGGACTTCAGGGAATGACAAGATGCTGAAGTCTTTGTAGATCTCCATTCACATTTCTGTGCTTCAAGACAGAAAGAAAATCAAGAAAAATGTGTTTTAAAAAAAAGAGAATAGCAACAATTTTGGATTTTTCAGTGAAGCTACAAATCTTCCTGAAAATTCTACTCACTTTGAACTCATTTCAATCTTCCATTTCAGAAACCATTCTGAGGTTTGGATCTTCTTGACACAAAGTGATTGCTTTGTACTGTCTTGTAGGTTATTTTTAGTAGTTTGATTTTTCAGAATGACATTCTTAGCCTTAGAATTTATGCCCCTCCTGTAGTTAAAAACTAGAATAATTTGTAATCAAAGGCTGTGCTATTACACATACACTGCATGTAATTCCCAACGAAACAGCTGTCAGTGACACAGTGCATTTGATCTTCTAATAGCTGTGCTCTGTTAGAAGTTAATGTATCACAGTATTTTCTTCAAAGGTTGTGTGAAGTTAGTAAGTGTGATACCAATACTGCACTGCAGTGCGTGGTTTCATTCCCTGGAGTTGTATCCAAATCTGAAGTGGACTGTTGTCAGACTTATTCAAGAAACAGTTGTATGTTGTCAGAATGATAAGAAACAGTAAATCATGTATTTCCTGTAACAATCTCAAATGTTTAAAGACACAATTTATAGACAGCTAGGGAGATTAAGGCTTTGCGAGATGCGAGACAGATTTTGTAGAAAAGTTGGGTTTACCCAAAGATTCATCTAGATTGCCAGTGTTACAAAAGAAAAAAAACACAAAAATAACAACAAAACAAATGAGCAATGCCAACAACAACAAAGAAAAACACTTTTTTTTTTTGTTTGTTTGTTTTCTGCAACAGTAGGCAAAAAATGGCATATTGATTCCCTTTCTCTCTTTCATTTTTTTAACCAGAAGAATGCACTCTTAGAGATCTTAGTAAATATAAATGAAACATTTTCCATGATGTGAAATAAATAGCATCATAACTGTGTATAATATATTCTAGTTGAGAATCTTAGGGGTTTATAAGCACACATCTTGACTTCTTAAGAGTAATCATATCTTCAAATAGTCTTGATATAACATGGACATCAATGAATCAAGTTGTTTAAGTTGACTGAAATGAGTAAAATTTTTCTTTCAACAGGATAGTTGAAACACAAAATGCTTTCCAAGAAGTTGGACTAAAGATTTAAAATCAATATCCAGAATACTTATTTGTAACTATGACACAGTCTAGTGAGCATTTTGACATTCTGACGTGCCTCAGCCATATTCATGACCTTGAAGTTGAAAATCTGTGCTACATTGTTTGTATAAAAGTGTGTTACTCAACGCTCCTACTGTTGATTGTAGGGAGAGTTGAAGCCTTCTCCTACATTACATTAGATTTGGTAATGCTGATAAATAATAATTTTCAGTCTTTTTGTTTCCTAATAATTTTCTGAAGAGGGGAAGTGAAAGGTGAAGGTCTTCTCTCAGATGATAGGTTATGCAGGAACAACACAAAGCAGTACTGGGGAGTTTTGGATTGGACAGTAGGAAAAAAAAATTACAATGAAGATGATCAACACTGGAACAGGCTTCCTCAAAAGATGTTTTATCACAGAATCATAGAATCATAGAATGGCTTGGGTTGGAAAGGAACTTAAAGATTATTCCGTTCCAAACTCCAGTCATGAGAGGGCCCAGAGCCCATCCAACGTGGTCTTTTCTTGCTTCCAGGAATGGGGCTTCTCTGTGCAGCCTATGTCAGTGCCTCACCACTCATGCAAGGCTACCTTATAGACAGACAGAAGGATCAGCTCTCTGTCAGCATGACTGCACTTAGTTTCCTATTGACCATCTGAGAAATAATTGTTTCTGCTTTTCCCCACAGTTCAGCAGATCTTCCTGTGTGCATCTTCAGGTTTTTGACGAGCATGTGTCTTTTCTTGCATTCAGAACCTCATGCTCCTTACAGAAGCGCTGACTGAGTGAAGATCAGTGTACAGCAGTAGACACTGTATTAGTGTAGGACATTGTTTATTCATGTAATTTGAAATAAAAGAGGAGATCACTCACTTCTTGTGTGTTCTTGTCTAGTTTATGTCTCTGGTGTTTTTCTTTACAGATAAAAGCCAGGAAAGAAATAAACTGGTTGTTACTATATCCTGTTAAAGAAAGCTTACAAGCAACAGCTGAATGAGTATCTTTGCATCAACAGTCAGAGCTGAGAGATTGCAGTTAACAATTAGGGAGGTATAAACTGCACTTATGTTTAATTCACAGGAAACAGAGCATTCTGTTTCCCATGTGGACAGATGTTGAAATAAGAAGTTAGTGTATGCACAGAAGGTATGTCTTCTCTTCAGTGCTCTAGCATTTCTCAAGAAAACTTTGGTAATTTTGTTTTATTCTTTAGAGAATGTGACACTGATAAACTGCAAAAATCAGTCATAGTTAAGGATGGCAGTAAGGAATGAGAGGCCAAGCTCACTGCTAGAATAATCAAACTGGTCTGAAAGGATCTTTTGCAATTATGTTATGGATTAAAGGGCCAAAGATGTTACAATTCAAAATAAGCCGCTGCTGCTTCTATCAGTGTCTAAGTTCAGTTATGTTGGTGATGCTGAGCAGAGCACAGTACAAACAGACCATTCATCACAGTGAATTGGAATCCATGTTTCAATAAGCACAAATACAAACACACAGATTATCGTCATCCGCATGGCTCAGAGCAGATGAGTACTCATTCCAAATTTTTCTGAAACTTTAAAAAATCCAAGGATTAGTATAGGTCAGAAAACTAGGACATTATACCTCTCTGATACTGTTATTGTAGTTGAAGGACTTTCTTTGTTGCCTAGTGTTTTCTCTTAAGCAAATACAGCCCAGAGTGTTGCATATTACACATGGTATAGCTTTGAGTTTCATTCTAACTTTCAACAATCACTGTTTTCTTCATCTGCCTTTACGCTGTGCCACGGGAATATTTACTGGTTCTTTTCTTTTATACCATTGATGGTGTCTTTCCATTTTTTTAGTGTACTTTCCTTTCAGTGTGAGGGTTGAACTCAGCTTCCTTGATCTTGCAAGAGGAGGCGACGTGCCATGCAGTTACATTCACAGAGAAATTGACTCCTGCTTACACAAAGCAGCCACCAACCTTTCCCCTCACCTCCCTTTGACTTGTAGCAATGCTCCTGAGGCTGAAAACCTTTGCGTCCTCAATGCTTAAAAATGCCTTTAGCTTCAAAATACTGAGGTGGGAATAAAGGCGGTTTGATCTGTCCCTGGTAATTCTGAGAAAGGTTACTTCGCATTGCAGCCTCTGTGCTTTTTAAGGGTGTGCTGTTGAGCTCTCTTCTTGGGGTACATTAACGAACCAGAGTGGCAGAAAATTTCACAGAGGGTCCCAAAAGACACTCTTATCTACAAATCTGATATAAATCTGGGGACAGAGGCTGGAGGGGTATCTTGAGATACTGTACCACTGCTGGGATTTGGCCTACACCCTTCCTCTTTCCTGTGGTTCTGAATGGGAAAAGAAAAAAAATGAATACTCTTAGCAACAGCAACAGTCAATAAAACAAATGTGTATTAGATTGAATATGTAAAACTTTCATATGCAATAGGACTTAGAATCACATTCAGCCAAACATTTCAGTTTCTAAAATGGATCACATTTGTAAACATGCAATATACACTACAAAAAAAAATCAATAATTCATTTGATTTTAATTTCATGATCTGTCCCAAAAAAGGATCAAATCTGACTTGCTGACTTGCTGTTATCTCTGGGAAGAAATTAATCATATCTGTATTTCAGTAAGGATTCCCCCCCCCCCCCTTTTTTTTTTGGTGGGGATAAACTGGAACTGAAAAGATTTTATCTCACAACTCTGTCTCTTGTCTTTAATGCACACAAGAGTTTGTGTGCATGTGTGTGTCTGTGTGAGTGCACGCAGCAGACAGGCAGCCAGTAGAGGTGGGAAGAAAAAATGAGCAAACGCTATTAACAGGAGCTCAGTTTCTAGTCCCAACAGACTTAACTAGCAGAAGGGGAAGTGAAGATCCGGGGGCTGGCTGCCAGAGAAGCATTGCTGAGTGTAAACACTCCAAAGCATCTCAGAATGCCCTTATCATAGGCAGCCTGAAAGCAGTGCTGCTCTGAGGCTCTGCAGCCAGGAGCAGTCCTGCAAGCAAAGAGTGTTTTACTGTCGATTATTAGGACGAAGGAAACTACAGCCAAGCTGACCAGAAAGACTGGAATTTCATCTCTCTCACTCTCTGTCTTTCCTTCTGTCGCCCATTCGTTGGGTTTCTTTCTCTGCCAGCTTTTAAAACCAGACATTACTGGGTCAGTGACACTCATTCCTTTCATACAGCATGATCTTGTGCTCAGCCTCCTGAAGTAATGCTGCTACCTGTAAGTATCTGCTTCAAGTTTGTTGAATGCCGTGAATACTATTGTGTTTGTGCTTGTAATAGTCTTTAATGGCTTAATGAATGCCTCAGTGGGGCACTCGCTCCGTTTTTGTATTTAGAGTGGGTGAAAGCTCAGTTCTATAAGAGGGAACAGGCGCTGGGTTTTGCTGGTTGTTTTGTGGCTCCAAGTAACTTAGTTTACACTAAGGTTTGAGTTGATACAGATTTCTACCCTACGCTGGCTGTCTTCCACCAGCATTAATAAAACTTTATGCTTTTATGTTTTATAAAAGCTTGGAAACAGTTGGAAACAGTGAGCGTTCTTTTATTACAACTGTCTTTTTAATAAAAACACACTGAGGGAAATGTGATACACCGCACTGAAAAAAAAAAAAACATGAAATCTTTCAGTATTAGTGAGCCTCTGGAAGAATTTTTTTTTTTTTTTTTTTTTAAATGAGTGCTTCAAAATTGTAGACTTTTATTTTGCAGCCAGTATCTGTGAGAGCTTTCACATGTTTGTGCGTATTTAGACAGTTGACTTTATTCATTTGAATTAGATAGATATTCACTGATCAGATGTACGTGTAAATGTTTATGTGCTTCTGACCACACAAAGGCATGCTTGTGGTCTTTTTGTTTCTTGCTCACTTTTATACACTTGTAATTAGACTCTGGAACAGCTTTTAGAGATTAGTTTCTTTCACTGTGCTGTACTGAAGTACTTCAGCAAGTCCTGTAGGCAATCACGTACAGTTTCTTGAAACAGTTACTGAAAGGATATTTCACAAGATACATTTTTTGCTGTTCATAGAATTGCAGAAGTTCATCATCTCAGCTCACTCAGGACTTCATGCCAAATGCATCGCTGCTGTTGGCATGTGCCCGTGTGTCTGTGGGAGGCCCTGACACTGCAAACCACCTGCTGCTTGCACAGCAAAAGTGTGCACACATCTGTAGAAATCACCCCATCTCATTTCTCTTACTTGGGTGTGACTGCTGTGGGCCTGCCAACATTTTTGTTACAGTTCTTCCCTGGTATTTATTTTGCATGCAACATGAGTGTGTGCAGCTTGCTTTGAGAGAAAAAGCTGGTTTGCACCGAGGCACACCAGAAAATTTTCTTCAGCATAGATCCCTGCTTTGAGAAAAGTTAGGCACATGTTCTGACAATGAATAAAAAGCTTCTTAGGCAATAATTTGAATTTTTAATTGGAGCTGCTCCAGGCCTTTTCCCTCATCAAATTAATTTTCTGCAGTCCTTGAAGGATCTGCTGTAATAACTTCTGTGACATTAACTACAGCACAACAGAAATGAATTTATTCATGGCAAAAAGAAATACTGCATCAGTCTATCTAACAGTGAATTTAGATAGCAGCAATAACGTGTAGTAACAGCAGCACAGTAACACAGCACTAACTGATGAGCACTACTTTAAAAGTGGAATCTGCTTGGTTATACCTGCTGAAAGGTTATACCTGCACTAAGGTAGGCTTCTCCCATTTTCCAAGGCTCTGTGGCCATGACTGTGTCCCCTGATTAACTTCCCTTGAGCTAATGAAGGATGTGAGGGCTACAACTGCCGCAGCAAGGGTATCCGTGCACAAATTCATGGTTTCACAGCTTGTGACATAACATCTTCAGGATGATGTGGCTGCCTTTTGGGCAATGGGGCAAGAGACCTGAACAAGCTGTCTTTGGGAAGTTGCTATCCCAACTGCTATCACTAGCTGCTATCACTGTGAACAGCATTTCAAAGAACTCTGATAGCTGGCTGTGTAGATAAACCTTTGTTGGACTCTGATTTTCTGACTAATGTCACCTCCAGTTCTCTAAAGACACTGCATCACCAGATGAGCCCACGGGCTGTAGCTGTAGCATGCATCATCCAGAATGCATAAGGATACACCTTTATTAAAGAAAACTCTTCATAAAAGAAGAACTTTGTGATTTTGCATCTGGGATGATCTTGATGAGATGTGCTTGGCCTAGTGCATGCTTTTCTTTATCAAACATAATTTGTAAGGAAGTGTACCATTTTTGAGCTGTATTACAGATTTTGTAGAATTTCAGAATCACTTTTGATTTGTATGAATGGAACAGTAAGCTCCCCTCACATCACTTTGGAAACTGAAATTTATGTTTGCCATAAATCCATTCTCTTGCCCTTGGATATCTAAGAACAGGAGATTGTCTCTTTTTGGAGAGACAATAGATTTGGTTTTTTCTCCCAGATCATAGCAGTAATCTTGACGAAAAGCTCAAACAAACCTTTAAGTTGAACATGTCTAAGGCTCAGAGAGATTAACTCTGTTTGTGGGAAAGTGCAAACCACACCATCTACCAGCTGTTAAGATTTAAGCATTCAAAAAAATCCTCTGTGCAGCATGTGAAGAAGATTGCAGCTCTTTCTCAGTTCTATAAGAAGCTGTACACCCCTCAGCAAGCTTGTCCTTGAGCAAAGTGGTCTGCAAAATCCTCTTTTACAGAAATTCAGAACTTTTTACATTAAAATCAAGGTTCATCATTGCTGTCGACCCAAAAACCAGATAACCAGGAACAATGTGTAAAAACATTGAAACCACAGGCTGTGCTCCCCATGGACTTTTATCCATAAAAGGGTGTCAGCCAGAGTTTGTAACCCTACTGCCATGTTGCTGCTCTGCAACGTGAGGCACAAGCCCAGGTGTTAGCACACAGCTTCCTGAGTCCATCAGCAGATACGTACTGCGACAGAGACCTGCAGTGTGCCAGTGGTCCTGCATTTCATCATCACTTTCAGATGACTGTTTTGCAGAAGTATCAGATCATGCAGCTCATGGTGCAGTGAAACAAGGTCAGTGTAGTACAGTCAGGCACAAGCTCCTGTTCCTGTCTGTTGTACAGGAGGCTTTTTCTGTTCCTGTTCAGTGGGCTTTCAGGCCAGGGATGTGTTCAGCCCCTGGTGGAGCTGTCCTGCCATGAGCAGAGCTCCTCTAGCGCCTCATGTTTGAGATTTGGCTATAGCTTGCAAAGGCCATGGAAAAGAATGAGGCTACAAAGCTAGAAGCTGTATGTTATCAAAAAAGCAATAAATGCAATACCGTAGTTTTTGCCTTCAGTTGACAAATTCATGACTTGAACTGAGGCTGAGTTTTATCCTTGCAGGACCCTAGGCTGCTTGTTGTGTTTGTCCTGTTTCTCTTCTGTCCATTGCTAGTTGCTTGCTAAAATGAAACATCTGTTGTAAGTAAAAATCTCTTGGGAAATTCCCTCCTTTCACCTTTCCATGGTTTCCATTATTAGAGGTGTTTTTCATAATCATCTTCAAATTCATTTCTGTGTGGACCAGGGAAAACTATTCCTCCACCTACTTGTTACAGATTGCTCTTCTGTGAGGAAGTGTAGTTCATGTTCCCTCTCTGCAGTGCATATAATTGTATACAAAAGCAAAAGAAAGGCTAATCTAGTCATTTGGTTTTACTGTTTACACAAATTTTCTCCTAGTTTTTATCCTCTGTCCCATGACCGAGAATCTCCAGTATCAATCTCTCCCTCCTCTCCTTCATATTTAACTTTAGTTATTAAGTATTGTCCTGCTGCAGCAAGAGGATAACAGAGGAACATCTGGACATGTCTGGATGTGCTTTACATCCTGCACATTTTTAATTTCGTGAAGAAGGGTCTATTCATCGACTGTGCAGTGAAACACCTGTTGTTTCCTTACTTTCCAGAAAAAAAAATGCAAAGGACTTGTAAATAAATAAATAAATAAATAAATAAAAATAGTATATGGCACTAAGAAGAAAACTGCCACCTAGTATTCATTAAATCAGCAAATACCTTGTTGAGTACTTAGTTTGGCTGTGGCCTGTAATCTTTGTAGTGTGTGGAACAAAGACGTTAAATAACAAACATTTGAAGGAGGTCATGGATTAACTGCACATTCTGAAGTGGCAATCCCCCAGTTAAACATTTTAGGGTCCTTTAATTGCCATGGGCTAACTTTTAATTGCCATAATAACAGTCATCTCTGTTTCCTAGAAACTGTGCAAGGCCACTATTTGTTTTCTTTAATCTTTCCTTAAAAAAAAAAAAAAAAGAAAAAACAAAAAAAACTCCATCAATCTTGTTCATTAAAACAAATCAGTCCAACTCCTCACCCACAACAATTGTCCTCTTTTCAAGCTTTGCGAAAAATGAGGGTAATTTTGAATGCCATTCTTCAGTGAAATCTCTCAGGCATCTGGAGGTTTTGTCACACGGAGAGAAGCTCTTGAAGTTTCATCCAAATCTCACTGGTGATTTTGGATGTCATTGCTGTTCAAGTTAGCCAGTGATTACGGATTTTTTTAGTTAGATTTCAGGTGTTACAACTGAGAGCTACTGGTGTTTTTTTCTGATCTTATTTTCAGTAGTTTTGCATTAGTAGATGTCTCTCTACATCTACTTTGGGATTAGACTGTAACTACGTGCCATTGACTTTAATTACATTCCTCAGAATCAGACTCAGGGACACATACCTTTATAACTTTAAATAAATAACAATTACCTGAAACTTTCATTGATTTTTACATTCTTTAAAGTAAATTCTATTCTTGTCAGCGTTGCAGTGGTATATACATATTTTTGAAAGATTATCTAAAAGACCAGTTCTACTTTGACACAGCTGGATGGGTCCTACACAGATTTATGTTTTCTCCACAGTCTGCTGTTGGAAGGGCAGAATCTAACATTCCATAACTTATGGATAATTTTAGGGACTTACAGTTTCCCTTTCCTTCCCTTCCTCTCTCTTCCCTTCTCCTCTGAAAGCCAGTTGTATTTGGTAAGAACACTTATGTTTGTAATTAACCATTGCATAATTTTTCACATACGCACCAATAGCCCTAAAGGAAAATAATTTTAGCATTTGTAGAAAATGTTTAACAAATGGTATCTGAAGTTCTCTGTCACTCCCCACTAAACTGCCTCCAGTATGCTCTGTTCCTCCTTTAGCTCCTCAGAGTCACATCCATTGG